GCCCCCCCCTTTGTCCTCCCCCCCCCCCCCCCCGAGGGTGAGGGCAGCAGGTCTGGGCTGAGGCGGGTTGTGAGGGACTGAGGGGACAAGGAGCCAGGCGTGTGGTGATGCAAAGGATGGGGGGGTGGAAAGGGAGATTTGGGGTCTCCAGAGGGGCAGGAACGGAGGTGCCATCTCCAGGCAATGCCCACTGGTTGGCAGAGACAAAAACGGGTCAACTGCCCGAGAACTGGATGTAGGAAGAGCGCGTGGAAAATAGCACTTGGGAGTTTCAGAAACGCCCCAAGTTCATTTTTAATAGGGTGTGGAAATAATCTATGATCATAACCGTACTTTAACAAAGGCTTTTTGGCTGGGTGAATTGTGTTTCTCCCCAGTCTCCCCCCCCTTAAATAAATATTTGTTTCAATTCTTTAAACATAGTCAAAGAAGCAGATCACTTTACTAGAAAACTGTTTAGCTTAGTGGTCAAGGCTCTCTCCCAGGGAACTTTTTAACTTGCTGGTCCAGGCTGCAGTTATCCAACATTTGAGGTTAGAAGTTCAAGGTTTGTTAATTTTGAGGAATGTCTTTCGCCATGTTTAGCCACAAGGGTCAAAAACGTCAAGGCAAAAAGAGGGAGTCCCAAGAGCAGTGACTCTTGCTCTCTAGGTGTATCCTTCCCAAGGCACCCTACCACAGGAGACTATGTCTTTGGCAGGTACTTGGCAGTTTGGGAGTAGGTACGACACCCCTGAGCCTTAAATCCAAGCTAACATGACCTCCTCTCAATTCTCTCTCCAGCAGCTCTCTCTAGCTTTGGAAAACCAAATGGGAGTGGAAGAAGGATAAAGGCTTTGGGCTCAGTGGAGGTAACGCATTCAGAAAGTGAAAAAAGGTTTGTCCCTGAGGAGGAAGCTCTTCTAATCCTCCATGGATTTGCCACTGCTGAGACCTCCTGCAGAAGGGCAGCAAGCAGCACCTTCCCGAGAGGAGGAGACAGGCCCTTCTCAAACCAGCACCTGGTTTTGACGAGAGTGGTGTGGTGGTGACAGGAAGGAAAAGTGACAGTCACAGGTTTCAGAGAGAGACTCCACCAAAGCAGCCCTCAGCCTAGCCAAAGTATTCAGGTGCACAGATATGAGGCATTTCATACCAAAACAGAATGCAGTACAATCCACCTGGCCTTGGCCAAAAGGGCTGATTTTTTTTTTCAATGGCTTAGTCCCACTCTAACATCTTTCAGTCTTCCTGGGACAGTCATAGGTGTCTGCAAAAGAGGAAGTCAATGGCAGCCTCATGAAGATTTAAAAAAAAAAAAAAAAAAATTTCCAACACAAGTTTGATGAGAAATGTTGGCTGCACTTCCACATGGGCAGATCTTGAAGAAAGTTGTAAATATTCAAGCAAAGGCTTTGCAGAGACGGGCATCTTCCACCTGAACAGCAACTAAAGATGGCTGGCTGGTCCTAGAAGGAACCATGGCAACGTATTTGTAGAAAAATCAGGCAGAATAATAACAACTGCCGAGACATCTTCAAGGTGGGAAATATAAACCAAACAGTCTAGAAACCACTCAGCCATCCTGTCAAGAGAGGGCATTAGCAACCCTGCGAGGTTCTCCCAGCTGCTCAAACAGGACAGGCCAATTCTGGGGAGGAGGACGCACCGACCCAGAGCCCAGCTCCAGGGAGCAGGCATGCTGCACCCGCACGGCGCCGGGAGGACCCTTCTTACCCCACTCTGCAGAACCGTTCTCAAAACTCTGGGAATGAGAGTTGGCCGAGGGACAGAGCCCGTTCCGTGCCACAGGTGAGCGGGACAGCCTGTCCAGGTGTTCCTGCCTGCTCTTGCACTGCACCTCGGGCACCTGGCAAATATCAAATGAACCACTGAAGACCTGAATGACCATTACTGCTACAGCATTTTTGGCTATTTGCCTACCAGATGCGGAGCACAGAGA